GAAATGCTTAAAAAGTCTGGAAAACAGATTATCAGGCTGCAACTATTTAGAAATTTAGATATACTATATCTAAATAGGCCTCGATTGATAAATTTTTTTGTCACTAATGTTTCATTTTAGAGCCACATTCATTAAAAAACTATAGCTTTTTTGATGTTGTTTAAGATCACTAACATAGTCTCCTGACTTCTTAAAATTTGATGCTCTTTGCCTAGTTAGAGAACTTTTGAACCTGATGTCATAGGCTTGCTATGCAAAACTCTTATTTCATCGACGTTACATAATTTTTGAAAATCTATTAAAAAAGCGACATTAGTATAAACCGGTTCTCAAAAATCGCGAGCAATACGTAGTCTCAGTATGTAACGTGTGTACAAAAGCACTTATAGTCAATAACTGTTTTACAGCATTTGATGCACAATTACCATTGCAAAACTAGTACCTATTATTAGATATTACAGATAAAACTTACTGTTAGACGTAGAGGTAAAAATTTGATAGAATGAATTTTTCACATCAATTCACTTGTTGTAGAGTTCGAGGCGCGAAAAGCAACCATCGCAATGTCTAAAATAACAGAGGCGTAATTGCTTAGTTGCCTTCATTTATTTGCTGTCCCTTTTCCTAATTCGTTTCTTTATATGGCGTCGATAATGATGCTTATTGTTTTGCACATTGCTGGCAATAGCTTGGTTACTTCTAGACGTATTTGTTCATGTATTAAGTCAAAACCTACAACACTTGACTTGGTTAACCGCTCTACCCTCATTTCTTCTCATTGCGTATTGTCATCCGCGCATACTACAGATGATTACCCGAGACCTACGGAACTCTCTATCTAATTTAAAACGTCGTACTAACACTATGAACTACTGAACTGCAGTATCGCCTTCATTCGCATCTTTCAATGAATCAGCATTTTCATGCAATCAGAGCAATATTAATTTCCTTAGCCTACTATTCGCTTCTCAAGCATTTCGTGCTCCTTCCGTTTCAATCAATTCTTTCTGCACCAGTATTTTTACAAGTATCA